AGTTTCTCGCTCAAAAATGTATTTGGCTCGAAACCCTACCGAGTTTCTTGATTTTTTCATAATATCCATCCGAAACTCACACATAAATTCAATATTGAAAGCCATAATAATTTATTTACTAGATGGAACAGGGGACCTTTGAGACGTGATTATCTCCTGAATTTCTGTCACTTGTGGAAACGTTCACGTTAGGTTGTGGCAGGTCATGTAACCGCATGAGAGGTAACCCTGTTGTGGTCAAGTGGCATAATCCCTGTAAATTACGGAACATATCTTTAAAATATATGCGGTTTCCTGAAATGTTCACCAGCCTCACCTGCATCGCTGCCTCTTCACCAACAAGCATGGCAAACCACGGATCTGTAACCCAACCTAGATAAGCGGATGAATGTACCTTCGCGTTATGACGAATATTTTGAAGTGCTCTAGAGCGAAGCGTAACAGGTGTCTATGTATATCATTGAAATAGAAATTAATATCAATGAAGATGATGACGTGGTGTCCAAAAATTTCTCGTGAATCCATTGGGTCCAATTTTCTCTTTAAGTTTTGAGTTCTCGTAAGCTTAATTAATTATCATTTGAGTCAATGGAACTATCTTCAACGTGAAACATGTCCTTTAAATTCTAACATATTGTAACTGTTATTAATTATTATTTTTTCAAGCAATTGAATTAATTTAGTGTCAAATTTAGGCTGTTCAATTTTAATATATAGTACATTTTACTGAGGTTTATTTTGAATTGATTGAATTTTAGTTTATGCCAAATTTGTTCCTTCATTTCTGGATTCCTGTGAACTTTAGTGATCATCATTTGAATCAATGCAATTTTTATTTGAGGCCAAATTTGTTTCTTAAATTGTAACTGGCTGGGCGTTTGTCCAGTATCGTTTTGAATTTGTGACCAAAAAGGGGATTGATCCGTTTGCAGATAAGTTAATCTGTAGTCGGATCAAATATTGTTACCTTTGGACTTAACATAATTTTTTGGGGCTCGTCCGGGATGATTAGCATATGAAAATTGGTGATGAACACTTGGTCTAAAGGCCCTGCTTCAGATTCGGAATAATGACCCGACCCATTTCGAAGCAAATCGAAGCTTCTCTGTTCCACGGAAAATTAATCCTCTGTTACGTAGTGTTACGTTTTTAGCTAACAATAAGGATATTCGCGTGTTCGTGACGGTCGCCGAGTCGGAAATCGAATTGCGGAGGTCTGTTCTCTTCAGAGTCGAAAATGGAAGTGCCGATGTCTTTTTAGAATTTCGTAGTCTCGGAGGTCTCGCTGTTGCTATGGTCCGGAATAATCGTAGTGGGGGAGAATATTTTCCCATCGAGTGTAGTCGAAACGACGGAAACCCGAATCTGCTGATGCGCAGATAGACAGGAAGTCGCGATTCCGAGTCTTCGCTAAGATACATGAATCTCCTGATGCGTGGATGGACAGGAAGTCGCGTTTCCGAGTCTTCGCTAAGATACCTGAGACGGCGGACGTAACAGTAGGCACCCTTCGTACCCTTGAATCAAGGAAAATGCCGTAGTCCAATCACCGGAAGCTAATCATGGAAATCCGAGGACAGGCACCTCCGGATCATAGATAGAAGCTGGAAATCATGACCACTACCCATGGGAAGATCCTGCCATACAGGACACTCCTGCAGCTAATTTGCACCACCCCTAGGCATGGTACCTTTTGGCACCGTAAGGACAGGGAGGTGCACCTCTATAACAGGTGTTATTTTTACAAAACCCCGACGTTCTACTGGCCCGAATTTACCCTGGAAATCCCAATACAGGCACCTCCGGATCATAGATAGAAGCTGGAAATCATGACCACCACCCCATGGGAAGACATCCTGCCATACAGGACACTCCTGCAGCTAATTTGCACCACCCCTAGGCATGGTACCTTTTGGCACCGTAAGGACAGGGAGGTGCACCTCTATAACAGGTGTTATTTTTACAAAACCCCGACGTTCTACTGGCCCGAATTTACCCTAGTCTACTGGCACCGGCTGAGGACCCGACATCATCCCTGGAGCTCTTCAAGGACGATCCTCTCCGCATCCAGACCGCCGTAGACTGCCGTCTGCATGACGGCCTTCCAGGAAGCGAAACCGAAGTTCCTTGCAGAAACAAACGAACTCATCCCCGTCCCATGCTGATCCCGTCTACCTAACGAACCGCGCCCATAATCAAGTATAGGGAAGGGAAAACGCAAAAGAAAGAAGACTCGAAACCCACTAGCGGGAAAATTTAAATATATTGTTACAGGGATTATCGTTATTAACAATTATTTATACTCTTCTACCTTAGTCCCAACGCTCCTCCGGCGCGAATTCATTAAAAAGGCCTTGAACCCCCAAGTCATATCAAGCTCGTCCTGGAACTACTCGTTCTAAAACCGAGCAATGCGCCGGCTAAAGCGCAGCATCGAATAAGTGAACTTGGCCGTCCAGCGCAGTTCCCCCTGTAAACAACAAATACGCCAAAGGATCAGGAAATGAAATAAACACACCACACAATAAGGGAATAGGGCAAGTAGTGAAAGTGGTTTAATTGAACAAATAGTATACAATCGATACATACCGAATGAGCAACTCGCGTAACACCTCCTGAACGCGCCGACCCATTAATCGAAAACGCCATCGGTTCCCCTCCAACAACACACATCCATTTTCATGTTTTCTTCCAGCCATTTTGTACAGGTTGGGACTCAGATCTCGCCTCGGCAACAATACGGGACAGAACAAATTCACGATCGTGACCACCACCGAAATCTTTCTGTCATCACTCCTCGCGGAATTCCGCTCCCCACTGTAAAAGCAAAATTGAAAAAACTAACATTCATCAGTATTTGAGCCTCCACTCACCTACTTACCTTCACACATTAGAAGTAAGTGCAATTCCGGCGGACTTAGACAAACCCGGATTCCATCCAACTAGTCTCAGTCCGAATCTCGATCAGGGCTGACGGCACTTCCTGATAAACACAATTGCGAATGCGACGCTCGACAACTCGATAATAGCAAAGGGTTGGAATGGAAATATAATGAAACGCTAACCTTAGGTGTGTCGGTGTTTCGAGGAAAATAGAACGGGTCTTGTGCCTCTGGTTTTGGTTCCGTGCTTCCTTGGTTCCTTACTTCCCCGGAACTTTTGGGGTGCTGTTGTTTCACCAGAAGATCGTTGCCGCTCAAAATTCTAAAATGAAGTGCACTCCTGGCCGAGGTCCAGATTTTCCGCGGCCTCCTGGACTAGGAGCTGGGGCAAGAGGCCCTCCTAGGTGGGGTCCACCTTGTGCTGTGTCTTCAAATTCCTGGAGCTCGGTAGGGCCTCCAGGACACTGAACCTGGTGCTGACCCGGGGTTTCGCGCCCGGAGACCCTCCGACGTCGTGTAGACTTCGGCCCCCGCGAACCCGGGCGCACCTCCAGAATGCCAGCTCTGCACCTTACTTGTGTCCTAGTGCAGAGCTCGCTTTCTCTGAATCCGATTTCATCTTAACTTTAAAATCTAAATTTTTACTGAATGCAGCAGGACGTAACAGTAAGATAATTGAAGTAATAGATGATTAAGTGAAGTCTACCGAATCGGCGAAGAGGAGCCACAAATATTAGACATCGAGGATGATGACGAGGAGGGCCCAGCTATACCACAGTTGATCTCCGCCGGTGCAGAGGACCATGAGGTTGAGTCGGAGATCCGGATCGGACGGCGATGGATATTCCGCCACTGGTTCCTGGTGGAGGAGTCCTGTTGAATAAACAAAAAGAAAGAAAAATTATATATGCATACGCATGCATGCTCGCACATACTCACACACACACACACACAACGATACACTTACGATTCACTCCTCATCGTTCACGTCGTCGATATCGAATTGTTCAGCGGGTCCACCCCATTCTAGCGGTGCCATCACTACTTTGTGATTGATCTTCTGTGGCATTGATAGAAGCATCTTTCATCCGTGCGTTTATCAAGCTCTAAGAAATCGGTAATGCAATCCTGTGTGCGTATACGCACAACAGTGAAACATTTGAAGCAGTGCACAACAATGAAACATTTGAAGCAGTGCACAACAGCGAAACATTTGAAGCAGTGCACAACAATGAAACATTTAAAGCAGTGCACAACAGTGAAACATTTGAAGCAGTGCACAACAATGAAACATTTGAAGACCAATAGACCAGAGTCAGCAAATTTTTTATCTCCCCCATATTCGCGGAAGGAGGTGCATAAACCGGAATGAAATGAAACAAGGTTGGGAAAATTAGTGGGTTACACTCTGAGTCGTCTTTTCTGGATGTTTTGGTGGTTTCACCTATGAAGAGAATTAAAGACCTCGTGTGCTTGCAATACTCATCTTCGGCACGCGGCTCGCGGACGCGTCGTACGACTAGTATTGCAAAATTACAAGTAGCGTAAAAACCACTTCATCATTGAATGTCCGTCTTGGACTGGCTGGGATTTCTATGTACGCACATAATTTCATTGCCTTCGAAACCGACTTTACCGCCTTAAAAGGATATGAAAGAGCCAGCCTATATATATCTGAGAAGTCGAATCGTTGGTTATGTAGAAAGAGCCATGAATTTATGGGGTTTCGACAATTGTACATCGATCTTTTTATCATTACTTTACCGAAATGACATATGGAACCTTTCAGTTTGTATAATTGTCAGCGTAGACTGTAAAAAATCAACCTAAATGTCAATGTCGGTAATGGGACGTGCCAAGTGATGTTTCCACTTGAGTATTCATATTAACGTTACCACCAAAAAGGGTATAGATGAATTTTAAGTTGTCGACCTCGATTAAATTTCTCAACACCTTCCATAACATCTTAAGGAGCCAAAGAAAATTCTTTGGGAGGATTTTTTGGGATTCTTTGGGAGAAAATTCTTTCTTCGTCCTTAAGGAGCCAAAGAAAATTCTTTCTTCGTCCTTAAGGAGCCAAAGAAAATTCTTTCTTCGTCCTTAAGGAGCCAAAGAAAATTCTTTGGCTCCTTAAGGACGAAAGGATAAAATAGCCAAAGAAAATTCTTTGGCTCCTTAAGAACGAAAGGATAAAGGAGCCAAAGAAAATTCTTTGACTCCTTAAGGACGAAAGGATAAAGGAGCCAAAGAAAATTCTTTGGCTCCTTAAGGACGAAAGGATAAAGGAGCCAAAGAAAATTCTTGGCTCCTTAAGGACGAAAGGATAAAGGAGCCAAAGAAAATTCTTTAAAAGCTGACGGTCGGTTTCCTTCCGTTCGATCTAGCTCTGCAAAATTGAGCTTTCCGAAACATTCCGTTCGTATCAATACGATCGTCCTGGGAATTTAAATTCCGAGCACGAAGTGACGATTCTCTCAACGACGTCGGTTTTCCAACTGTTTTCAACTGCAAGGAAATACATTTCCGGTCTCGCCGGTCGGGGAATCGTGTCCCCATTGCTCTTATTCGATCTACCTTTTGTTTTTCCGTTGACATCGAGCTCGGGGTAAAGTTTCAAAGCAGTCAATAGAGGAAAATCTTCCTGGTACATGCAGAATACTGAGGATTCCTGCGGAGAATCTGAAACGTGGTTTGAAAAATAAATTCCAAAAGAACCACCACAAATGCGACATCTTCGACACCTTTTTGATCCCTTTTTTAAATGATTTCAGTATTAGCTTTTTCTAACACTTTACATTTAACAAAATATGCGAGACACAAACCCGAAATGAGAGCATGTATTAAAATTGTAGTGGTCATTCTTTATATATATAATAATAAATATATATAATAATGAAATTCTGTTTATATATCGTTTCATTCCGACGTAGCGTTTTATTCTTATATTTATTTATTCTTGTGTTGCTATATTTTCCGTGCGATTATTTTCTCATGTATTCTTCTAAGTTCGTTTCTGTATTTGTCTCGGTCTCCTTTTATGTCATTTATAATTTATTCAATTTTATTAATTTATTTATTTGTTTAATTTTATTTGTTCAATATAGAGACCTCTTAGACTATTTCGTTTATTCTTATTTATTTGTGTCCTCGTTTCTAAAGTTCATCTCACAGGATAATATCAAATCGTTACAAAATGGACGAAAAGCCTTTGAATCTTCGGTAGGGATCCATAAGTGTCTTCATGCAATTGAATAGTTTACTTCCGATAAACCCAATGATTGAATTAGGTGAGCAGCATTGCCTTTAAGTGCCGCGGTAAGAAAATTAATTGTATGTATAACCAAGATAATAGGATCGTTATGAATTATTGGTAAGAAGACATCACGAAATTTTAGACATTGGGTGCATTCGGAGGAGAGAAGCGGTTACCGATGAGTTGGGAACATGTTGATGAACACATTGTGGAAATTGATCAGGTATAATCTGATTCCCAACTAATCTATGCATGTACATTTTTAACCCCTTCGGTCCTACTGCTAACTATAGCTGACACCCATGTAAGAGCCTTTGTATCCGGACATTGATTGCAGTCGGCATAAATAAAGGGAACGGTCAATTCTCTGGCCAGATAAAACGCACACACGCCCACGTATGCCGGACCCAAAATTGGACCAGACCATTCATCTCTGAGAAGATTCGTAACTCATCTACTCCACTTTTCCAGTCCAGTAGATAGTCCTCCAAATCCTCTGGTGGCCCACCAAAGTAGGACTTTAAGTTTTCAGAGTCAATGAGCATTATTGTTGGATCGTAGGATTTTTTTGAGAAGGATGAACAATGTGTGAAGACTCTCGCCGGCCGAGTCCGCCGCGTCTGATCTTGCAGGAAGTCTCAGGGGGCAAGAGGGGGACGCTAAAAAGCGAAATCTGTTTTCCCTGACATAAATAAAGGGAACGGTCAATTCTCCGGCCAGATAAAACGCACACACGCCCACGTATGCCGGACCCAAAATTGGACCAGACCATTCATCTCTGAGAAGATTCGTAACTCATCTACTCCACTTTTCCAGTCCAGTAGATAGTCCTCCAAATCCTCTGGTGGTCCGCCAAAGTAGGACTTCAAGTTTTCAGAGTCAATAAGCATTATTGCTGGATCGTAGGATTTTTTTGAGAAGGATGAACAACGTGTGAAGACTCTCGCCGGCCGAGTCCGCCGCTTCTGATCTTACAGGAAGTCTCAGGGGGCGAGAGAGGGACACTAGAAGTTGAAATCTGTTTTTTCGAAGTCAGTTGAGTTTCGACGGCTGATCTTCCAGGAAGTCTTAGGAGGCAAGAGGGGGATTCAAACCCTTTTCAGCTAAAACCTCCCTCAATCTTGGGTAATAAGTAACGTTTATCACTTTTGCGTCTATCGATGTTAATGTTAAGCAGAAACTCGAGAACGGTGGTAGGTGAACAGTATCGGAACCGGGAATCAGCCAAACGGTCATTCTTGGAGTTCCTAACAGCTCCGTACTTGAACATCAGAACGTTGATTTACATCCTAATATGTATAAAAGACAACGTCTGAATTGTCTGCCTATTTGCGATAATCTCGGAAATTACTCAATCAATTTTTCTATAGTTTATTAAGCAGTATTTTAAACATATTCAGGATCGACTAAATGGCCGGACTTTTTGAGAAATATGTAAAATCCTTCATGTTTAAGTATCATTGTTGGTGCAAATTCGGTAACAGAAACGGTTCATCTGGCAAACGCTGCCACACTTCCAGGACACACTCGATCATTCGCTCTTGATATGGTTTGATGGTAGCAAATTGATAACTCATCAAATTCGCTTTTCCACTCCTATAGATGAAGTCCTCCAAAACTTCTGGTGGTCCATCAAAGCAGGACTTCAGTTCCCCAGAACCAATAAGCATTATTGGTAGACACAAAAGAGTGAAAACAAGGGCTACATTCTTCGCAAACTGTCGGGTTTCCTTGAATATCTCCCACGGAAGACAATGCTTTTCGTCGAGACCCTCCTCAGCCAAAGCCTCCGTCAACTCTGTGTAGTAGATTCGGATAAAATTATCATAGTATTCATCCCTTGTGCGCCTATCGGTGTTGACATGAAGTGATAATTCAACATCGATAGCTGGTGGGGAGTAACGAAACAACTGGAAGTCGATCAAACAGCAACCCTGAGGATTTCCATCAGCTCCGTACTTGAACATCAGGTTATTCGCCCAAATGTCTCTATGACATATTACATTCCTGTATTTTGCCGAAGGGGAGAGAAGGTGTGACATTTTATAAGACCAGGTCTTGACTCGTTTCTTCAGAACGTCCACTTCGTGTGAGTTGAATTCTTTTATCCTTCCGACTTCTTCTATGATACGATTAATTCCCATAAGTGTGGCGTCCAGCATCCGTAAAGCGGAATTGTCTTTCCTGAAGATCACCTCTCCGAGTTTTTCGCCATATAGGTTCCAAATGCTTTGGCCATTTAAGTGTAGTCTTTCATCCAGAATCAAAGACCTTGAATGCAACCTGTACATATTAATTTAATAGTTTTAATATTGTTGTACATAGAAGTTTTTATACTGAGTTCTACCCGAGCTAAACAAAATCTCTTCATTCACACCTCCGCACTTAACATACACAGTACATGTTTCTGGAAGGGTGCATGTAGGTATACAGGGCGTGCACATGAATTTGTGAAGATCTTGCATATTGAGAATATGAAGGCTATCGGTCTATAGTTTCCAGGAATTGTTGCATCCTTGCCTGGATTGAGAAATGTTATAACTGCTCGTCGTCAGATAGAGGGAAACGTTTGTTTCCTCCAAATAAGATTAAACAGTTCTAGGAGATCATTTCTTGCAGCGGGAGGAAGGTTATGATGGAAAATGAATGATATGCCGTCAGGGTCATTGCTATTCCCAATATGCTTGTTTAGAGCATTTTCAAATTCAGTCTTGCTTATAACATGCTCAGTAGGCTGGTTCATGTTCTTCGTGATTCTGGTTGCTGGAATTAGATGATTGGGATTTTCTTGTGCTAGAATCTTTTTCAATTGTACAAAGATTGGATCATAATTATTGTTACCGGAATTGTATGCAAAGATCATTTCCAACAGTTCAGCAATATCTTCAGGTACGGTTTTTCGGAGACTGTTAAGATAGTTTATACCTCGAAGATGTGAGATCTTGACAATTTTGCATTTTTCTAAGGTTTCATGTCCTTTCAAGTTAAAACAAATCTTGGAAAAATACAAGATAGTTTAATAACAATACAGTAGACTCCCGTATAATGTCCGTAAAATGTTACGCGTTGTATGAAAGTGCCTTATAAGAAATTGTATTATACAACAATTTTCCTCGTATAACACATGCCAGTGAATCTGATCGTGTGCTAAGTATCTCGTTACATAATTCTTGTATTTAGTGTCCAATAACAAGGTGTGTAGTTCGTTAAATTCGTTTTTAACGCCGACAAAATTCCTACCGTTATTCAAATAAATGTTACGACACATTCCTCTGCGGACGATGAATGGTCATAGACAATTGATGAATACATCCGTGGTTAAGTCAGTCACTAACTCTCGGTACACAGTCTTGGTTACAAAACATACAAAGAGACAAATGTAGGATTTCATTGTCATTTGACAAGATATTGACTACGTGTTTGTTCATGGTGAAGAACGAACGATCCAGTGTAGTCAACACCGCATGAGTGAAATGGGCATGATGGGGTGTCTCTGCTAGCAGATAAATGTCTCATTACGTACTGTGCTCTTGCAGGTTGAATTTTGAATTAAGTGACACATTCTTGAATTATCTTTGTAATGGTATTTTTATACAATAATGGCCAGATTCCTGAGAGACGCCATTACGGATTGGCAATCTGCATGTAAAAGTCATGTTTAACCCTTTGCACTTGGCGCCATCCCATCTAGACTTATGATGTCCTCTCAGAGGGGACAACCGAGTGCAAAGGATTAATAATCAATTTTGTAAGAGAATGTCTTGATGGCAGAATTAACAGATGCCTTTGTTCAAAAGGAATCGGTGCATTGATCAAACAACCGCCCACCCTGCGAACTACCTCCGAATCTATAAATGGCGTGAGTCCTGAGATACGATTATACTTTGAGATGCATGATAGTTTGGTTAATTTACATATTTCTTCGGGGAAGTCCTGAAACGCGCTATTTTGATAAGACGGGATATTGCGTAATCTAACTCGATAGTACACATGTGCCCATAATTATGAAAGTGGTCTAAGTCAAAATTTAAAAAAAAATAAGTTTATCAGTTATTTCACGCCATATTATTTCAAATGAAATTAATTCAATGTAATTCAATGTAACGAAACAAAAAATATATGACTTAGACCACTTTCATAATTATGGGCACATATATCGCCAAACTGGCGCGCATCTAACGGTTTCCTAAACCATTTTAGTGCCAGGGGTTTCCAAAAATCCGTGTCGGATTGTGCCATGAAGCGCGATAGCGTTGCGAATTGACGATCGGGACCAAACATCGCGACACAGGTCACCACAGTACGCGAAAAGCGCGATCGCGCTGCGTGGCACTAAAACGGTTAAATTGCTCATAGATCTTAAACAATAAGCAGTAATTCGCACGAGCCTACCTAAAATAGAATGGATCGTCCTCGATCGATCCAATGCCATAGCGTAAATTTAGAATTAGATTTAGATTAACGAATAAATAATTTCTACCGCACTAACGATGCGAGCGTATCTGCTCTCGAACCGCGCGACTCTTCGCGCCGTCATAACTTCTCCGCCAAGGGTAGAGGACCGCCATAGAACCCCGTGGTAAAGGCGCTCGTCTCCCTTTTTTTGATGTTTTACAAGTCTCCTCTTTAGGGGCGTCCATCTGTCGCTCTCGACTCATATGGAAACCATCAAGTCGCAGAAGGACAATTTATTTCTTTAGCGCTTAGGCCTCGCTTTCTTAATTTCGGCACGTACTCGACGAGTGGCATTTTGTCACCATATTTCTTTAGTCCTTTCCAAGTTCCTTCTCAGAAGTACTTCTCTAGGAGTCCATCTTGCAGTGCCCACCTACACTCCTTGACTGCAATGACTTCCCTTCCTACGTTCCTTTGCCACCAATCGGCTGCATTACAAAATGCAGCCCGTTTCTTCTCTCGACCTATCCTCGGAGATCCTTCCCAAACTCCACCCTTTCAAAACTTTCTCCGAGGTCTCGATACCCTGAGATTTCCATCCCAAAATTAGAATTTGTTCATCCTCCGAAAAAGGCACTTCCTCCGGCACCGACGCGACTAGCCATTAGTTCAAACGTGAACTCTTTCGCTCGGGTCGTAACACACAACATTGTCGCACGGTTCACTGCTCCGTAAACGCCAATAAACGTTACTTATTACACGAAAATACTCGCGTGAGTTTCTGCTTAAGTTAGCGCGGGATCCGTCGCACTGTAGTGCACGGAACATAGAATATCTATAAAAAATCCCGATGTCTATATCCATCGCAACAGTGAGAACACGGCTATCATTGGGAGCCTCGGGAATTTCTTAATATTCGGATACGGGAACATGTGACCATTTATCAGAGTCCCGTGATAACCAGCCCAGTCCATTCTACCATAAATCTGAGTTGATCAATTTTGCTGGGTTGATTCCCCGGGAGATGATGTCAGCTAAACTACCAGTAGCAGAAAAGCGATGCCAGTTGTCATTTGTGTGTTCTTGAATCTCTGATGTCCAGTTGGCAACGAAGGTCTTCCATCGACTTGGTGAAGCTTTGATCCATGTTGAAGTGATAGTTGAGTCAAACCAAAAGTCCTGTTGATCGATGTGGATTTCTAAGGCTAGTGGGACCTTGTCGTACCATTATGCTAAGAGCAGTGCGCCACAGTGCTCCAGCCTAGGAAGGGAGACGGTTTCTACCGGAACAACCCGCGACTTTGTGCACAGAAGTTGAACACAAGTGCCTTGATTGTCTAGCGAACGAAGATAGATGCATGCGGAGCAAGCGCATTCAGATACGTCGCAGAAACCATGAAGTTCTACAAGCGGTACGTTTCGACATAATGCATATCTCCGAATAACTATTTTATTCAGCCAAGATAAGCTGCGATAAAAATCCATGCACTAGGAATGAAGCTCTTGTTCAAAACTACGTCCTGCGTATGCCTCTCTCTTCCATCCCTTATTTGTTTAAAGAGCGCTAAGCTGACCCTTGACCGCGCGTCGTTCGGTTATTTCCTGATCGGCAACGAGGCTTGGCACGGCTCAGCTCTTTTATTCCTTCACCCTGAGTTACCAGTCTTTCGTGATGAGTCCTCGAATGCGTTTCGTTGATGCGAGCATGCGAGCAAGGAACTTCAACTGAAACCGGCAGGGTGTGGTGACGTCGGCGTCTTGCGTGTGGCTACGGAGCTTTGTGCTGCCAAATCCTCGAAAAGGATTGGGTGATTCTGGCAGATTTCTTTTCCCGCTTCGGGTCGAGATTGCTTTCACTTTGCAAGCATCATTGAGTTTATCTTCGCTTATAAGACACCTCCTTAACTCACACCACCCCATTAATAGATAACCCAGACGTTGTTTTTGAAGAGCCGTCGAATACAACTGGAGTTTGTGTACTCTTCACAACAAGGTGATGTCGGAGGTAACACGCTGGATTACCAGCTGCGGAATGCTTACGGAATCGAACGGCAATGGAAAAAAGGTCATCGTGCACTGTGGGCCCTATCCGTTATACATCAATAATAGATAACCCAAACGTTGTTTTTGTAGAGCCGTCGAATTCAACTGGAGTTTTTGTACTCTTCACAACGGGGTGATGTGGGCGTTAATACTCTGGACCACCAGCTGTTATTCCAGAATCTCTGTCACGTGGTCAAGTGCTTTGTATTCCTGCATAAAATTAACGTAGGCCCGTTTCAATTTAGGAGTCTTAGTTCACCTTCTTTCCATGGAAAGAAAGCACTTGTACGCAGCTTCCCGTAAGTCCCCAAGCTCTCTATGTTGATTAGTGAAGGGACTGTGTACCACGAACCGTCCATCTACATCCCGTGATATGGCATTAGTAAAATGCGTCTCACAAATGTCGATGTAGGTGGAATTGTAACGTGGACAGTCTGAATGGACATGCTTGATCTTCCAAGATGATGATATGTCTTTATGCAAGTATGATTGACGATGGCATAATACGTTGCTTTTCGAATCCGTGACTTGGGCAGTACGAGCATTGGGCCAGCGATAATTCACCTAAGCCGGGATTTTTTGGAGCAATAGTTGATCTGGTCTCACACGAATTTGTCCGACACATAACAAATTCCGAAATAATTTTGCGCCTATTAAAAGGTCAATCTGGCCACGCTTATCAAAATGGGGGTTCGCTAATTCGATACCAGGTTAAATCTGGAACAGTGTTCGATCGAGAGGGAGTCCATTCATGTAGTCCGTCATTTTCGGCATCAGTAAACACGTCACAATCGCGGAAAATCCACTCGTTCTGGAATGAAGCTTAATTTGAGTTCGCGCCTGAA